TCCTAAAAAAACCTGATTGGCTGGTAATAAAATTACAATATTGTTTTTTTCAATGTAACATGGAAAGGGTTATTGTAATGTCTTCTAACATAAAACCTCTTAATCAAAACCAATGGGAAGATTTGATGAAATTAGTAGAACATTTAGAAATGAACAAGTAGCAATAGGTTATAGTCTTTGAAAGTTCTAAATAAAGGAAAAGGAAAAAGATTGACCTGCTCCTATCCCTATTACATTATTATTTACTTTTTATAAAAAGAGCCATGATTTTTGAATTAAGTATCTTTATTCCATCCTCTCTGTATAACCAACCGTTACTTGTTTTTTTATCTTTGTTTATATGCAACTTGCATATCTTAAAGGACCACTCTAGGCACCCAGACCACTTCAGCTTAATGAAGTGGTCTGGGTGCCAGGTCCTTCTAGGATTAACCCATTTTTTTATAAACATAGCAGTTTCAGAGAAACTGCTATGTTTATTAATGGGTTAAGCCTTCCCCCTAATCCTCTAGTGGCTGTCTCATTGACAGCCACTAGAGGCGCTTGCGTGATTCTCACTGTGATTTTCACAGTGAGAGCATACCAGCGTCCGGAAAGCATTGATAATGCTTTCCTATGACCGTTGAATGCAGCGCAGCTCTTGCCGCGCGGTGCATTCAGCCGAAACGGAGGAGGAGAGAAGGAGGAGAGCTCTCCGCCCAGCGCTGGAAAAAGGTAAGTTTTTACCCCTTTCCCCTTTCCAGAGCCGGGCGGGAGGGGGACCCTGAGGGTGGGGGCAACCTCAGGGCACTATAGTGCCAGGAAAACGAGTATGTTTTCCTGGCACTATAGTGGTCCTTTAAAGATTCAGTATCAGAATGTGTAAATGTGTTAATTGACATTTGGATATACTGACTTTGCTGGATTTTATTTGTATGTATTTTTTTCTTTGTTTTTGAATGCTATGAAAATTAAATGAAAATGAAGATTATTAAAATAGAAAAAGGTCTAAAAACATAGATTGCATTTTGTAATTGGTGTTTTTATCCTGCATATTATTTTCAGTATTCTTTTGACAAACATTCAGAATTTGATGCATTCCGGTTAGAGAAAGAATTATACCAAAATAAAGTGTATCTGGGAGAAAATGTCCTGTACAGTGCAAAGTGTTAATACCATGAACACCTAAAGTGTCAGTACATTAAAATCAGTTCAAAGTTAACAAACAGCAAATTGTCATGGAATCAATGTTTAAGAAAGAAGAGAACATATAGTGTAGTATTTTAATAATGGTAAATAAAACATTAGCATTATAAAGGACTGTCACTCACAATACTCTAAAATACATTGATGCATTTCATATGATATGACCTCTTCAGGATATAAAATAATTATCTCTATAAATTGTATTAAATAATCCAGTTGATACATTTTAAAGCCTTAACTACCCCTGCTTTTCTCGTTGTTACCTTTTTTCTTTGCTGCAATAGAAGTAAGCAAAGAAAATGAATACATATTATGGGCCTCCATCTGCTTTTGTATTTTTTTTTTATAAACAAGTAGCCATGTTTGTCTGTATGAATTAAAGGTTTCATGACATATTTTGTCTCTCAGCAATTTGTGTTTTCATTTCTATGCATTTATTTGTGTTTGCCACACTATTTGCCATTTGGTGTGCAGGCATGCTTATCTTTTTTATGGTTTTCTCTGCTTATCTTGTATGAGTACATGAAACTCCACTTTCAAGGTAAGCAATTACCTATAGCCAGCTGCTTCATGTAGTGGTAATAGATCTGCCCGCTGAACAGGCAGACGGGAGGCTAACAGACCAACAGCTTATGCGCAACCAATAGCAATAACCTTAATCAAATGTCACACACTGCTATGAAATGCTTTGAATACAGTTCAGCAGCTGAGCAGGTAGATGGGAAGCTAATAGAATGGTAAAAATAAAAACTATTGTAGTTCCATTCAGTAGAATCATATAGATGACATATACTGAGATAACCTACTGTGTGTTAGCATTCCACCATTTTATGGTAAAATAAAAAAAATAAAAAATGGTTATAGACCATTTATCAGTATTACTATAATCTATGTCCCAGTTATTTGTCTATACACAGCTACTAATGTGACTATTGTTAGGGATTAGGCTTACATCTGATAAGCCAGTTGCAAAGCATTTTACATTCTAAATAAAATATTAAAATGAATGCATAAGGTGATTAACTGGGAAGTTGCCTGCCCCCTCATAGGAAATACACATGCAATTCAGACTAGCAATATAGGTAAAATACAAACAAAATATTTATTTGAATAGTTAAAAAAATGACAGGTTGAAACGGGGAGAGATGCTAGCTGAAAACGATAAAGCATTTTGTGCCACACGGGTACTTTAATTTAAAAAAAATAAACAATAAGAATTTCATGCAAACTTGGAAACAAAAACAAGGCTGACTATTCATCTAAAACTAATAATGCAAAAGAAGGCTCAATTTTTTTTTTCTTCCTTCTTCAACTGACCTTTTATTTGTTTCTAGAACAAAGTGCTGTTTTGGTTATATATATATATATATATATATATATATATATATATATATATATGTAATATATATCAAACCAATTTCACTAGAAAAATAGTAAACAATAATGAGAATTATGAGCAATTAAAACAGGGGTTCTCAACCCAGTCCTCAGGACCCCTTACCAGTCCAGGATTTGGGGATTACCTGGGTGTGTCTCAGGTGTTTAGAAAAAGGGAAAAAAACACCTTACACTCTAAGGTGTTTTTTTTTCTTCTTTTTCTAAACACCTTAGACACGCCCAGGTAATCCCTAAACCCTGGACTCGTAGGGGGTCCTGAGGACTAACGTTGAGAACCCCTGAATTAAAACATTATTTTGCTTCATAGTGACTGATACACTTAGCTCTCAAGATGAAAGTGCCCACCTACTAACCAGATATACATAAAAGGAATGAAGCAATCAATTGTATTCTGCACTATTTAAAAACTAAGTACTTTGTTGTAAAAAAACAATAAAGCTCTAAATTATTTATGTTTACTTCTAGAAGAAAAATAAAATAACTCCAAAAGTAGGAAAGAAGCCTATTCTGATGCTAGAATTGGGTTGAGGAGGTAAAAATGCGCTCAAGCCAGAATGAACAGTAATAAACAAAAAACAAATGAGGACAGGAGTCTAAGAAAAGGATCCTAGACTTAACTAAAATTACCTCCAATTACAGAACATTCTAAGGTAATAGCAAATAATAAATACAACTTTATTAATAATAGAGAACCAATGAAAAACAAGACATACAATGTGCCCCCCAACAAAAAAAGTGAAGTGCATGAAATAGTCCAGACATAGACTACTCAATATAATTAAAAAGAATTGGGAATCTACACTTTAACTGGGATATCCACATAAGATTGGCATTGCCGCTTAATGTGCGTTTCGGTGGTTGAAAGAAAGGCACTTGAGAAAGGCATATTTCAAACACCGAAACACACGTTGAGCTGCTATGCCAATGCACTGTTATTGATTTTATTTGACATTTCCTTGAATGGGGTTCCTAGAACTATAACTATATATTTCCAGCAGCACAGAATAACCAATCAGAAAACATTGCAACATTACACAAAAGGCCCTGACACACCAGGCTCCTCCTCTTTCTTTGTTGTGAACAAAAAAATGGAAGTTTCAAACAGAGTTCAAACAGCGAACTATCCAACAGAAATCCAGAAATAATCTTGTAATCCAGACTACGTTAGTGGGAACATCAAAGTGTCCGTAGCATCCATAAGCAATGTATAATGTGTTGATTACACTGAAAAGAAATAGAAAGAAGTGAAAGGCATCTAAAATTATATGTTGTCCATCATCCAACAACTGTCTATCAATTATGTTAAATAGATGCAACAAGAATAATGGTTAACCACATTTAACAATCAGAACATTAGCCTGATCTAAGTTTCATAACAATATAATAGCAATATAATAATTAAACGTGAAACATACAACTGCATAGAGTGTGAAAAACCTAAGGTTAGTAAGAAAACTAAATTAGAACTAGATAAGAGTAAAATGGAAATTACCCAGAGTGGGAAACAAGAAAAAATGGCCAGAAATACTCGCCTCCTGTCATTACTAAAATTAAGATTATAGGTACACTCCGATAGCATAACCTACAATCTTATCACATGACAGGAGGTTACATATTTGCAGTTTTAACGCTCAGAATCAAGGAAAGTAGAAGAAGCGGAAAGGGATTGTCTAAAATAAAACATGTGTAACGTAAAATCCAGTCTGTGCCTCGCATAATCATGGTCCACGATGCGCACGCCAAAAACGCTCGAGATGCTGCAGCCCTGCGAACCGAATGGGCTATTGGCTAGAAACAGGATCCAGCGATTCTATCTAGCCAGAGTCGTAGAAGATACCACTTGATGGGGTCTAACATAAGACACCAAGAGTTGATCTGAAGGCGAAGTCCGTAACGTTGTCGTAACCTCTACATACCATAAAAGAGTACTAACGGGGGGCGGAGCTTGATCGCCATGCTACTCAGACACATGTAACAGGAGCTCCTCAAAAATCTTGCTTTTTAGCCCCTAATATTGATAACCTGCAGATTTTATTTCTCTGGTGTCTGACTAAATAGCAACTGGGAACGACAGTCAATCTCCCCGGAGCACTGTCACTGTTGGTAGCTGTGGAACTCGACCGGGCCTAGCGTGGACCCGACCGGGAGCTGCGGCCGACCTCATCGGGGGAACCCGTGGGCTGAAAAAGCATCAAGACTTGTTTCCCCCTCCTCAGGACTGGCGGGGGTTATCCAGGTCACCGCCATTGCTGACTTACCAGAACCCAGGCACGAAGCATACACGAGACCCACTAAACTGCACAGTGACGCTCTCCTGCAATGGCGGAAGCCGCAAGGCACCAAACATTCAACGCTGACACCAGCGATATACTCACTCGACTGGACAGGCACTTCCACGACTTCTGACTGCAGATTGAATGCAGGATGAATCGGCCTGCCGCATCACAGACAAGCTCCCGCTAATCTCAAAGCGCCTCGCAAGAACCTGCGAATACACTCAAGGCGAGAGCTCCCACAAGACGGCGGATCAAATGGCGCACATTGACCAAACTCACATTGATGCCGTGAAAGCCTGTTCGCAACTGCCTAAGCATACTTGCCAAAGGGTTACACAGAGGCACTACGACACAGAACAGCACCTGATGCTCCCACAATGCCGGCACCTGTCGGAAGCCTCCTGTCCAGCCTCAAACGAGGAATTGGATGAAGGAGTGTGGACCATTGACCTCTCACTACCTGTCTCTCAATCTTATAGACTCACGTTCAAACATGTCCTGTTTTCTTGATTATTATTTTACATTTAAAATTTGTGCTAATCTATTCAATGTCCTGCCATGTTAACTATATTTGACTTGAACGCACCTGTCTCTGCTGTCATGGCATTACAGGCATTCTTGTTACATTCTGCACAACCAAAATAAAGAATTAACTTTTTTTTTGTTTTTTTTTTTTTTACTACTAATACTAATGTACTAATGATGCACAAGCGTCTGGAAAAATGGGTAAAAAAAATCATAGTCAAATCTTACTTCGTACAACGTGAGACTGAGAATGAGACACCTTCCAGAGAGAAGGTAAACCCCTCAATGTCGAATGCACAAGTATCCAAGCCCCGTTGGAAGGAAATGAAGCACAGAAGCATTGTGAGTTTAGCCAAGAGCTGGCGAAGTGACATTTCCACATTGTCTGGCCAGTCCTGGATGGCACCCAAAACTAAATCAATGTCCCAGAGACGAAGATAATATTTAGGAGTGGGTGTTCTAGATAACTTAATCCCGCTCAAAAGTCGACAAACCAGAAGTCCTGACTCACAGGTATGTCCCGGAGAGGAACGTGAGACATCGAAATTGCAGATCACACCATATTAACAGCGATACGAGCGATTCAAAGAGAAAAGGTGAGACAGGTAGTGCAGAATGGAGGTAGTAGGTGCTGTAAAGGGATCTGCATAACCAGCTATTCTAAGCATTCTAGGTGGAGATGTAACATCGTCTAGTGCCAGGGGCCCAGGAATCCCATAGGACATCCTTAGCTGCTTCAGATAAGCCGTGGACCGCCCAGGCTCCCAAAAGTGTCCAAGTCTAGTTTCTGTTCTAATACCAATGGATGAGGTTCGCCCTGAGGGCCTGTCAGGAGGAGAGGCAATGCTGGCGAAATAAGTGGATGGTCCTGAGACCGTTCCAGTAGATTTGAAACCATACTTGACACATCCAGAGGGGGACATGGAAAAGGAGGGTTCCTCTGTGGAGGCGTACATGATGGCGAATGGAGGGAAGGCATGGGCCTCTTCATCCAGCCAATTCTGTAGGTATTACATTCCGGGTCCGGGTAGCCAACTGAAGTACCTCGGGAGTTGTCGGTTTGTCCTGGAGGCAAACAAGTCCACGTGTAAAGGGCCCCTGAGGTCCATCAGGGTGTGAAAAATAGTCGTCTAGCAGCCAGTCGCTGGTGTTTCATCAGTAACTAGAGAGAACCAGTCCACCGTGAGATTGGTGACCCCCAGAAGATACTCAGTCTGCAGCGTAACCATTGTGTTATTGGGTATTGTATAATTGTCCGTGGGCATCTCACTTGCAGGGGAGAATTGCATAAAAGCAGAGTGTGTGTCATTAAACCTCAGATCCTGTTTGACCCTCAATATGTAGCCTTGTCTCGTTATTGGAGGGAGCTGCTATAATCATACTTTAGATTGCTATGCTCTGCATACTCCCCTGAGCTTGAATCACTTAGCTCATTTAAGAGCTTGTTCCTGATATGCTCTCCTGGAGGAGAGGTCTTCCCCACACGGTCCTGGAGGACAGAAGCTGATCCAGGGTGGACAGAACATGACGAGGCTCCAGTTAAGCTACGGTGGTTGTGGAGTCTACGGTGGTTGTGGTGTCCAGTGCAGTGCTTGTGGTCCTCGGCGCAAGCTAGGAAGCATCCTTTAACGGAGGTGATCTGTTACAACATCCATATGGTAAAATCCTTTTCACATTGCTATGCCATTCATACTACCCCTTCTGTCATCTAACCTGTGGGGGTCCCAGCTTCAAAAGATGTAACCTCTTTTGACCTCGACAATAACATCTCTGCCAGGCCAGCAAGTCCTTAATAGACTACACAAATTACATTAAAGGACAATATTCCATAGTGTAATAATAAATTATGCACCCTTGCCATGACATCCGGTGCCACAGGCACTGAAAGGTACACATCCTTGAGATCAAGGTGGATGAACCAGTCGTTGGCCTACAGAAGGTCTCCTAGGAGGTTAATCCCTTCAATTTTGACATGTCGGTATACGACATAATCGTTGCGGCGACGGAGGTTGATGACTGGCCGAAATGTGCCTGTCTTTTTCTTTACTAGAAAGATGTTGCTGTAGAAACCCCATCCTTCCAGGGCGAACAGGACTGTGCCTTTGGCGAATAGTGATTTGATCTCTATGTCTATGAGGAGTATGTTCTCCCGGGAAACCTGTATAGGTGGTGGACGGGAGGTCTGTTTTGGATGCAAGTAAAACTCGATAGCATACCCCTGGACCATTTGTAGGATCCATGCGTCCGCAGTGATCTCCATCCAGTTCCGTAAGAAAAGATATAAACGGCCTGCAGTACTTGTGATAACCGGAATACATAAGGTAGGCTGCAAGGAAGCGTCCCCCACCTCTTCCTCTAGATCCTCTTGCACAGTCAGTGCCTCTGTGGAATGATGGTCTTGACGTGTAAGATTGGAAGTTCGAGGAAGATTGTGCTCTGGGACCCATGGACCAAAATCGGCTGGTGGCTCGGCCCCGCTGCCGAACAGCCCTCCCAAAAACACCTCTGCCAGGTGGGGGATGGAATACTTGCTTTAGGGAGGATTGAGCATTGTTCAACGCTGTGAAAAGGTTGACATGCTTCTTTAACTTCTATAAACGGCTCCCCGAACAGGAGGCCCTTTGCCAGGGAATTTTTGGAATTTTCCCACGCTGTGTAAAATGACACAGAGCACTGTGATTGGATGGCTTTCAAGCCATCCAATCACAGTGCTCTGTGTCATTTTACACAGCGTGGGAAAGTTCTTTTGAATTTTCCCACGCTGTGTAAAATGACAAAGAGCACTCTGATTGGCTTAAACCCACCAATCAGAGTGTTCTTAGCCTAATTGCAGGGCGTGGCAAGGCTTTATAAGCCTTCCCCCGCCCTGCAGAGCTCAGTCTGCGCGGAGCCCTCCATGGGTGAAGATGGATTATTTTTTTGCGCTCGGGTCTTTTCTTTTTCGCCGGGTTTTTTTTTTTGCGCTCAGGATTTTTATTTTATTTTCAATTCGACGGTTATGATGGTTTTTTATTTGGCCTTTTTTGGGGCTGAAAAAAGAAGATTTGAGAAAAAAGAAGACGTCGAATGGTAAGTTTACTTTTATTTTACAGGTTAGTTATTTTATTCCCCCCTCACTATTTTTTAGGGTGAGGGGGTAGGTAGGGACTTTTTATTTGGGGGGGGTGACTAGGGGCTTGGGGACCCCTAGTCACCTTGGGGGGGATTTACTTAGGGCCCCCACCCGCCGCCCAGGGGTGGGGGCCGGGGGGAGGACAGTAGGTCCCCCCCCTCATTATCTTTGTGGCCCCCACCTGCCGCCCAGGGGTGGGGGCCGGGGGGGAGGACAGTAGGTCCCCCCCCTCATTAGTCTTTGTGGCCCCCACCCGCCGCCCAGGGGTGGGGGCCGGAGGGGGGGTGGACAGTAGGTCCCCCCCTCATTATCACTATGGCCCCCACCCGCCGCGCAGGGGTGGGGGCCGGAGGGGGGGTGGACAGTAGGTCCCCCCCTCATTATCAATATGGCCCCGACCCGCCGCGCAGGGGTGGGGGCCGGAGGGGGGGTGGACAGTAGGTCCCCCCCCTAATTATCAATATGGCCCCCACCCGCCGAACAGGGGTGGGGGCCGGGGGGGCAGTAGGTCCCCCCCCCCATTATCAATATGGCCCCCACCCGCCGCGCAGGGGTGGGGTCGGGGGGGACAATAGGTCCCCCCCTTATTGTTATTAGGGCCCCCACCCACCGCTCAGGGGTGGGGGCCGGGGGGACAGTAGGTCCCCCCCCTCATTATCTTTATGGCCCCCACCCGCCGCCCAGGGGTTGGGGCCGGGGGGGGGAGAGTAGCTCTCCCCCCCCCCCTTCAACCAATAAGAGTCCCTGTGGGTTTTAAAATTCGCCTGCCCATTGAAGTCTATGGCGGTTCGCCGGGTTCGCGAACATTTGCCGAAGTTCGCGTTCGCTGTTCACGAACCGAAAAATTCATGTTTGCGACATCACTACTGAAGTGGTGTGGGTGACTATAGTGTCCCTTTAAATAAAGTCATAAGAAAACTTAATCAATTAAATACAGTACAAAATATTAGGAGGACAAAACACTCTGACCTGTGAAATGGCTGGAGCAGCAAAGAAAGAGGAGGAGCCTGGTGTTTCAGGGCCTTTTGTATAATGTTGAAATGTTTTCTGATTGGTTATTCTGTGCTGCTGGAAGTTTTCAGTAAAGAGAGATATGCAAATATGAAGCCTCCAATCATGTGATAAAATTATATTTGTGCTTTGTAATAAGTCAGTAGAGTATCACTGTTTTAACTTTAAAAAAAGGAAGGTATAGGTGCTCACTATATTAAAGTCCAAGGTTTGCAGGCGATCAATCAAGGATTCCCTCACCTTGTGTAACAAGCCAATTAACAAATCAATTAGACACACCTCACCAAAAAGGATAACCTTAAAGTGCAATTAATGAGACAATATATACTTGAATCAAATCAAATTACTCCAAGGTTTTTGACCTCAAAATAGAAAAGAGAACAAAAAATAAATAAATAGTAAAAAATATATATTTAAAGGAACACTATAGGGTCAGGAACACAAACATGCATTCCTGACCCTACAGTGCTAAAACAGAAGTGATTCTGTGAGCTAATCATAATGCTTTCCATTAGTATTGTCTGAGACTGTCAAGGAGGCAGACCAGGGGTAGAGCTAGCACAAGTCAAACACAGCCCTGGCCAATCATCATATCCTCATAGAGATACATTTAATCGATGCATCTATATGAGGAAAGTTTAATGTCTACATGCAGAGGGTGGAGACACTGAATGACAGTACTGCACGGTGTGAAACACTGCCCCAGGAAGCACCTCTAGTAGCCATCTGAGTTATCCCTAGGCTGTAATGTAAACACTGTATTTTCTCCAAAAAGACAGTGTTTACTTCAAAAAGCCGGAAGGGAATTATTCTACTCACCAGAACAAATACAATAAGCTGTAATTGTTCTGGTGACTATAGTGTCCCTTTAACAATTCATAGATCTCAATACATTGTGTAACAGAAAGCTCACTCACACTCTTAATAGCTAGAGCTCCACTGAATTTGTGCACAGACAGTACAGTCCCTGTCTTAGGACATGGATAGATCCAGATGGCAGTTTTTTAAATAAGGTAGTATAAGCACAATATGCAGCGAGAAAAGCGAGAAAAATTCCAATAGTACATACAAATTAAATAAAAATAAAAGATATTGTACTTACAATCTCTAGAGCAGAACTTGCTCTAGTAGTGAAAGCTTGGGTGGTATAATCCCCACCTGAGGATATATCAGGAACCAGGAAGTAGATAGATGCAGGTAAAAAAATGAGTGAGTATATTATTAACTTTTAATAAAAAGAGTAAACAAAAACACTTGTTAAAATACAATATAAAACAATGCATTTCTATATAGGACCACACTCTACATGTTTCTCCACTCAGGACTTCTTCAAAAGTGTGGTAGGGTCCTGCAATGTCCAAGAATATATAGGTAAATTATTACTTATTGATTGTTTCCTAGTGTGATAATTCAATTCTGTCTTGTATTTCACAATGAAACGCATACGTGGCGCCGGAAGTGACATGGTGTGAACAAATGATGATTGGGCTAGAAATGTCATATGAAAATGTGTTCCAGCTTGAGGTGCAAGCATCATACAAAAAAGGTGTATCACCTATTGATTACTGTTTCTGCACGCCATACTTGTCTAAGCACTTATTATGATATATGTATTATTATGACCAAACAGTTATCAATAGGTGCCGCGTCTTTTTTTGTATGACGCTTGCGCCTCCCCTGTGGAATTGTATAAATGAATTTTATCTGGTTTCAACTGTCTACTAACATATACTCTATCATTGATTGGCTTTATGTGACATTCTTATTTTCTTTTAATTTGTTTATAGTATAATTTTGATGAATACATTTTGATATTCTAACTGGCATCATGGTTTTTCATGATTCAGAATTGCCATCTCGGGATATTAATCAGTGGGCAGGGAATTAATTTGTCCAAATGCTAAATTTAAGGCTCAAGAATATGTCAATGTAGCATTGTTATAATCATATCATTACCAATTGTGTTAATGATTTTACTCTCTGAATATAACTTTTCGAAGCAATAATGCAACTGTATTTTTCATAAGGAAAAATTGTTTCGGAAAAATGTATATATTGCATTGGAATTTCATTGGGCCAGACCCTCCCACTTCCTGGACAGCTCACTAAGAATGCAGCTTCACAATGAATGTAAAATGGATGCTGTCCAGGAGGTAGGAGGGTCTGGGAGGGAGGGTCTGCTGCTGATTGGCTGGAATCTGTCTGCTGACTGTGAGGTACAGGGTCAAAGTTTACTCAATGATGACATAGGGGGCGGACCGAACAGCGCATATGTTAACCGTTCGCTGCGAACTGTTCGGGACATCACTATTGTGCACGTCTGATCTGCAACTACAGAAAACATTTGGTTGAAGCTATTGCTGCCAAAGGAGGTTCAACCAGTTATTAAATCCAAGGGTTGACATACTTTTTCCACCTGCACTGTGAATTTTTACATGGTGTGTTCAATAAAAACATGGCAACATTTCATTCTTTGTGTGTTATTAGTTTAAGCAGACTCTGATTGTCTATTGTTGTGATTTAGATGATGATCAGATCACATTTTATGACCAATTCGTGCAGAAATCCATATCATTCCAAAGGGTTCACATACTTTTTCTTGCAGGACATGTTTTTTTGTAAATGCAAAATAAATGCCTATGGCATCTCATCTTGTGTGCCCTAAAACTATTGCAGATCTCAAAGTCTTGCCATAGAGTAAAAAGATGATAGTGCTCTTGTTTTAGCTGCTTGAAGAAAACTAAAAGATGGCAGAGTGAGAAGTGTTGCAGAGTAGGTGCCCCCCAAGTGCCGACATTCCAGCAGAAGAGGTGTTTTATTTTATATATATATCCCTATGTATATTTAAACATCTGCTTTTGCCACATTTTGCAGAATACAAAGTATACAATACCAACAAACTATTACCAGTTTGAGAGCTAGATGTATGCTTGGAAAATTATGAATGATTCATTCCACCACTCATGTTGCACTCTTTGCATGTTTTTCTAGGTAAAGTGTAATAGAAATTTGAAAGAAATGGTGTAATTTCTGTGTTATTTTTTATTGGTATCATACACCGATAAGAGCTGTGTGGCTTCACACTTTGCGCCAAATTGCAAAACAGCCAAACCTCCTAATACCAAACTGTCATGTGCCATGATCTCAGGTTATGGGATAGCCAATAAATGTTTAATTTATTCACATAAGTGACAACTTTCCAAAAGAGATAGGAACAGAAAAACAATCTACAGTGAAAAAAAGTATCTGACCCCCTGCTGATTTTGAATGTTTTCCCACTGACAAAGAAATGATCAGTCTATAATTTTAATGGTAGGTGTATTTTAACAGTGAGAGACAGAATAACAAGAAAAATCCAGAAAAATGCATGGCAAAAAAGTTATAAATTGATTTGCATTTCAATGAGTGAAATAAGTGTTTGACCCCTTTGACAGTACTTGGTGGCAAAATTCTTGTTGGCAATCACAGAGGTCAGACATTTCTTGTAATTGGCAACCAGGTTTGCACACATCTCAGGAGGGATTTTGTCCCACTCCTCTTTGCAGCTCCTCTCTATGTCATTAAGGTTTCAAAACTCACGTTTTGGCAACTCAAAACCTTCAGCTCCCCCCACAGATTTTCGATGGGATTAAGGTCTAGGCCACTCCAGGATCTTAATATGCTACTTCTTTGTTGCCTTGACTGTGTGTTGTGGGTCATTTTCATGCTGGAATATCCATCCACAACCAATTTTCAATGCCCTGGCTGAGGGAAGAAGGTACATACTCAAGCTTTGATGGTACATGGCCCAGTCTATCGTCCCTTTGATGCAGTGCTGTCCCCTTAGCAGAAAAACACCTCTCTATGTTTGATGGTGGGGATGGAGATCTTGGGGTCATAGGCTGCATTCCTTCTTCAGATGTTCATTGGCAGACTTCAGACGGCTACTACATGTGCTCTTTTGAGCAGTGGGACCTTACAGGCGCTGAAGGATTTCAGTCCTTCACGCCGTACTGTGTTCCCAATTGTTTTCTTGGTGACTATGGTTCTAGCTGCCTTGAGATAATTTACAAGATCCTCCCGTGTAGTTCTGGGCTCATTCCTAACCGTTTTCATGATCATTGAAACTCTACGAGGTGAGGTCTTGCATGGAGCACCAGACCGAGGGAAACTGAAAGTTATTTTGTTATTCTGTTGTCACCTTTTCACCAAGCTGCTTGGCGATGGTCTTGTAGCCCATTCCAGACTTATGTAGGTCTACAAACTTGTCCCTGACATCCTTGGACAGCTCTTTGGTCTTGGCATGGTCGAGAGTTTGGAATCTGATTGATTGCTTCTGTGGACAGGTGTCTATTTTTTTATTCTTATTTTTATTTGTATTTTGATCAGTATAATGATACATTCATGAAATAAGGAATATCAAGTGGTTCGACAGCATACATCGTACAGTAAAAAGGAAAAACAATATTGTGGAAAATACAGTATGACACTGTGTCATTTGCATGTGTATTGGTAGGTATGGTAAGAGATTCCATCGTGGTTATGGAGAGTACATGTTACAAGTGGGCATACTATGTTATCAAGTAGTTTGATTACGGTTAATAGTGTGAGCTACTCCTGCGGTGATATCAGAACCCAATACGCTGCAACTAGGAGCATCAACAGTAAACGTAAACCAGATACATTGTACACTTATATTGTCCTATATTGTTATAAGTTGTAAACAGAAAGATGGTGTGAATTTGTGTTGGTCCCAAGGTATGTATCAATGGTATTCAATGGTATGTTGTAAGAAGTGGAACCAGGTTTCCCAAACTGCGGTGTAGAAGCCATATTTATTTGAAGAGGTGGCTTCAAGTTCTTCCATAATTCTGATAGATTCTACCTCCAGGATCCATTCTCTAATGGAAGGGGCTGCAGAATTTTTCCACTTGATTGGGATTAGCAAATTTATAGCTGTGATAAAATTTACATCTGGGGCTCTACGGAACAACATATGGATTTTGGTAGGGGAGTAGTGCCATCTGGATATCCTCTTGTATGAGCTTTCTCATGCATTGGTGCTTATAGATGGCGTGTGTGTGTATATGTGAAGATTTTTTGCCACTCTAGAGGAGTTAGTGTAATATTCAACGTTTGGGCCCAAGAGGTTCTAAATGTGGGTAGGTGTTCTTTATGTGCATTGTGAAGAAGTTTGAAAAGGTTGGATAGGAGATTGGTTTCAAGCAGATGGGTGGTACAGTATGTTTCAAATGTTGAGTGTGTGCGCAAGCCATGTAAGAGGCTTGGCTCTGTCTGTATAAAATGTGATAGTTGGGTGTAGCGAAATGTTGTGTATTGGTAGGGTGGTCTGTCCTGGAAAGTATGGTTAGTGGTACCATCGCATCTCTCATTGCTATGGATCCAAGCATAGGGTATCTAGTCTCTTGGGTTGGAGGAAAGGGTTGGAAGAAGTGTGATTGAGGCCCAGGAGAAATTTGGAGTGATGCTTGAGTGGGTATAGTGGTGATGAATGTGGGGATATATCTGTCAAGTTCCTCAGTCATAGTGTGGGGATGATCATAGGGGAGTTCTGTGGCAGAAGGAGTTTATGTCCTGTTTGATGCCATGGAATAGTATATATTGCTGACTGAAACATTGAATTTTAAATATAAGCCAATTGTTTGAGTGGGGGAGAGGCCATCCATTCATAGATTCTAGAATTTAGCTTTTAGTGTAATTGACCTGAAAGTTAGATAGTTTGTTGTATGTGCAGAGTTCACCTAGATGAGGAGGTAGTGAAGTAGTCAGTGATGTTAAATAGCAGATCATCTGCAAAAGCAGAGATTTTGAATTCCTGTTGTTGGACTTGGAAGCTGTGTGATTTCAAATGCCTGGTAGAAAGGGTTCTAACGTTAATATAAAGAGAAGAGGTGAGAGAGGGTACCCCTGTCTCATGCCGTTTCTAAATTGTACGGAGTCAGATATTTAGCCATTGATTCTCAGTTTTGCCGTTGGGCTGGAATAGATGGCTCCTATCCATTTCATCCAATCTGGGCCAAAACCTAAGGCTTGGATAGATAGTGGTTAGTAGTGTCCAGTCCAGTCTGTCGAACACCTTTTCAGTGTTGACAGAGAGCAGTAAACGCTGCCTTTTGGTGGATTGGGAGATGTGTAGGAGACTCAGCATTTTGATAGTGTTATGTTTTGGCTTTGCAGCCTGGTGCGAAGCCAGATTGGTCTGTGTGGATTAGTATTCGGAGTAAAGGTTGCAAGCGGGTGGCTGGGATCTTGGTAAAGATCTCCAGGTCTACATTGATGAGTGAAATGGGGTGGTAGCTGCGGCGTTGTCGTGACCACTGAGTGTAGCTATTCTGGGGTGATGGGCGCATCGAAAGACTGGGCTATATTTGGAGGAATAGTTTGTTTAAGCCTAGTTGCCATGAATTGCACTGTGTCATCTTTGGTCGGGGGAGTGTCTCTAAGGTTGTATAGTTTAGTATAGAAACTTCAGAAAGCTTCAATGATGTCTGGGAGATTCTGGAAGAGTGCCCCCGTGTGTGACTTAACTTTGGGGATGAATGAATTCTGTCTGCAGTGCTTCAGGGCATTGGCCAATAATCTGCCACATTTTCCTCCCTGTGTGTAGTATGAGTGTTTGGTGAGTAGCAATTTTTTATTTTTTTGATCAGGACATTCAGTAGTTGTTTTAGTTCTGCTCTTTTGGAGGTGAGGGTGGTATAGGTCTGGAGGGAGCAATCTGACGAGTGTGTGTTTTCTAGATCCCTAATCTCCCTTGTAAGTGTGTGAACTCATAGTTCCCGTCTCTTTTTAAGCATGGATGCGATGGCTAGGAATTCTCCCCTTATAACGCATTTGTGAGCTTCCCAGGTAGATGAAGGGGTTATGGAGGGCAGGGCATTTTCCTTGAAGTAGTTGTGTAGGGCCTCGTGACTACGTGTTGTTGTGGGGTCATTCAAGAGAAGGTCGTTGAGCTTCCAGTGGAAGGATTTCAAGGGGAGGGATGGGATTTAAACGGCAAGAGACAGGGGTGCTTGGTCCGACCAAGTGATCAGGCCATATGAGCAAGAAGTTGCTAAGTGTAGGAGGTTGTGCAGGAGGAATAGCATATCTATTTGCGAGTACGCCTGTGTAGTTGTCGAGTAGAAGGAATAGTCCTTGGAGAGAGGATGTAGTGTCCTCCAACAGTCAAACAGTTAGGATTGGTCCAGGAGTTGGGTGACCCGTTTGCGTGCAGATGTTTGGTATTGTGTGGAGGTGGAAGTCGTGTCTAGAGTGGTGTCCAGAGAGATGTTGAGGTCCCCTCCCAGTATTAACAGTTCTTCCATAAATGATTCAATGGTGAGTAAATATTTCTTGAGGGCTCTCACCTGGTGCCTTTTAGGGAGATAGTGGTTTGCAAAAGTTACCATGGTTTGGCCAATCTGACCTTTGACCAGGAGTAGTTTACCCTAATCGGTCTTATGGTCCTTGTAGGTGAAGGGGGTGTGTGCTGATATGATTATGGCTACCCCATGCGCTTTGGCCCTCCCGAAGTTGCTGAAAAAGCCTGTAGGATATTTTCAGCTTTTTAGTGTAGATGCATTATCTTTTTGGAAATGGGTCTCCTGCAGGAAGGCCACGTCAGCTCCCAGTTTGTGTAGTTCTATCAGAGTTAGTGAACGTTTTTACAGAGTATTTAGGCATTGAATTTCAGGGTAGGTACCCTCAAGGTAGCCATAATAGTGTGTAAGTGTTTGCGGCTCTTCCCTGTCCATGTGTGTCAGACGTGGATAGGGGGTTTGGTTACAATGTACACAAAAGAAAACAATGATCAACAAACTTATATACAAGCAAAGAAACAATAAACAAACTTAGTATACACCTGTCTCCTGGGGACAGGGGCAGCTCAAATGCCAACCGCTTATTGCCAGTCTATAGAGAATCCAATGTTGTCTGACCCAGGGTGGGGTATAGTGGGGCAGGTTGAATCGACCTATATCAAATTTGAGAAGACTTTATGTATAAAGTGGTAGCAGGAATTTTTTTTGGGGGGGGATAATGGATTAAAAGTCAACTGAGCAACCCGATGGTAACCAGCGATACCCTCGCCAAGATAAAATGTGTCTCGATGGTTGTCATCCGCTGTCTGAGAACAAATCCACATGAACATTTTCAAATATTTGAATGGGCAGTTTATATGACCCAAGATGCATACACCATCTACTCGCTATGGCCTCCCACTGTGAAAAGGGTGATTGGTGAAATTAAGGTTGTCCCAGAGGAGGATCTTACGTTTTGTGCCCTGGTCCATAGGGGGACACTCGGACATAGATTGGGAGATGTAGGTGGTGGGTTGGAGGGTGGGAGTTCGGGGGGGTTGGAGGTGGGGGAGTGTCACGTATTCATCCGCTTATAAAAATGTGGTTAATGACATTTACTGCCCACACAGGAAAAGTTGTGCCGAGCAGCAACCTAATCCACAGAAGGGTTAATGCTGAGCAGCAATTATGCAAATGGAACCTGGTAACTGCCTTTGGGGTCAAAGGCTGGTTACAGCCTATCAGATCTATTTAGGCCCAGTTCTCATCCTGCTCAGTGCTTTCCCTTGTGGTTGTCCGAGAGCGCATTATTTAATCTGGTTATTTGACTTTGGCATTGTTTTTGACTTCCTTGTTTTCTGGTATACCTGACTCCTGGCTTTTCCTTATCATTGTGTCTCTTTCTGTATCCCTTGACATCGGCTATTCCTGACTATACTTTGGTACGTTAGTCCGGCCATTCTAAGGTCCGGTATACGTTACCTATCAGTCCTCTGTGTTATATTACGGCACCCCCAGGCATAAAAGGGTTAAACTGCTATTTAGTAGATCTCCCCCCTTTAGAGACACAGGCACTGTTGCTGTAGACTGCCAAACTCCCAAACGGAATATAAGGGAATGCTCCAAACTCCCGAACAGAGAATCATACGAACTCCTCCTCTCCTGGAACAGGCAAAATAATACTCCCAAGTAGCAATCCCCCCAAACACAAGACCAAGCTCTTGAGGGTAAAACAGGAATCTGCTTTAATGAGGGCTACCTGCCCGGTATTCATGCAGGTCTCCCACCTGGTGGACACTCCCCTAGGGGACCAGATGGAAGACTGGGACAAATGAAGTACAGTAGCCAATCACAGTGGCTCAGGTATAAACACTCCCCTTTGTACAGGTAAGAAATCCAATTATCTCCATTGACAGAGGCAAACCGCCATTTTACATGGTATAATAAAAACACATAAGAATTCATAAATGTAGAACTACCGAATGCATTTAATTCGTATAACGTATCCCCAGATAGCCTAGATCAAAGTCTTACCCACTTTTCTTTCCCTATACGAATGACTCCATGGGATGGCTATCTGGGTTAAGTCCATTCGTACAATAAAAAGTCCCAAATGGACCAGCGTTCGTATGCCCGATGAGAAGAAGGGCGGTCAGCAGTTTCAGCGGTGTTCGGTAGAAAAAGTGTCCATTTGGAGTTCCATAAGTTCATCGTCGAACACCGCTGTTCATTCGCGTGTTTAAAATGGCCACCGCCTCATGGTCGACCTACGAACGACGACCACCCTGCATATGGTTCCAATTAAGAGTTGTCTGCGGTTAACCAGAAAGTTCTAATTGAGGCCAATAGGTTAATTAGCAGCACACTTCTCTTCTGAGTGGCCGTCCGTTCGGTAGTTTTATTCGGTATAACTGAAATAAATGGGCAGAGAAGTACAGGCAGGTAATTCCACGAATGTATAACAAAATAGACGAACCAGCAGATAGTACTTAGACAGATGGATCTGTCACAGCAATATTGAATTGTTGGGCATTAATCTAGCTTTCAAGGAGTGGTGACATCTTTTAGAGGGTTCCAAGGACCCCCTTTTGATCATTACTGATCACAAAAACCTGGCTTACATAGGAGATGCTAAGCGATTATCTTCTAGACAAGCTAGGTGGTCTCTATTTCTTTCTCGCTTTAATTTTCTTATCACTTACAGACCTGGTTCTAAAAATGTCAAGGCCGAAGCCTTGTCCAAGCAGTTTGAAACTGAGGCTATACTAGAGCAAGAAACATCCCATATCATTTCCCCGGAATGTATCATTGCATCCACTGTCCTTTCATTGTCCTCTCCTCTGCTTGGCTCCATCATGGAGGCTCAGTCTCAGGCGCCCTGTGGTAAACGTCAGGACAAACTGTTCGTTCCATTGGGGGAGAGGGTTAATATCATGAAGGTGTTTCACGACAATGTGTCTGCTGGTCACCCAGGTATTAATAAATCCACTTCTGCTATCATGAGGTTATTCTGGTGGGATTCCCTCAGGAGGGATGTTAAGGAATATGTGCAGGCTTGTTCTGTTTGCGCGGTTTCCAAAATGCCTCATAATCTCCCTTGTGGCTTATTACAAACTCTTCCTATTCCTGAGATTCCATGGTCCCACTTGTCCATGGACTTCATTGTTGAACTTCCTAGTTCTAACAGTTATACCACCATTCTCATGGTTGTGGACAGTTTTTCTAAAATGGCTCATTTCATTCCT